GACTGAAATACACTGCTGAGGGGAGCAGCGGGCAAGACAGGAGAGGTCTACTGCACCATGTGGGTAGCTCCCGGGATGGGGATCGAACCCTTGCTGTGGTGGCTGTGGATAGCTTCATAGGTTGAGTCTTAACCCTTTGCACCACCAGGGAGGCCCTTAAGACATTTTAATTCTGCTAAAACAAGGACTGGGTGCAGCTGACATCTACCAGCTCTACTGTTTTCTAATGTCATGATCTCTACGTGGCATCCAAGTGGCACATTCCAACCTCACCTAAGGAAAAGTTCTCTGCTTCCCAGGCAGAATATGCTGCTGCTGCCCCCAAAACACACAGCAGCGACCCAAGGGGTTCACTGGAAGGGAAGTCCCTGAGCTGCAAAGGGCAGCAGCTGCTACCTGCTACTCTTTCTCCAACAGAAAACTCAGAATATCTGCACCCTGGACCCTCAGCTGGTACTCGTGTCAGATGAATGGGTTCCCAGGGAAGAGCAGGTTTGCCCTCAACACATTTTCTTGGTTCTACAAATTAATATTCTCATAGGCATTTAGTTTCCATATTTTCTTTTATGTGACAGAAATAGTTTCACGCAGCTGAACATCTATAACTGAATGTGGCTTCCAAGACAGGGTCCTTGAACTTGACCATGAAGGAAACAGTTCAGTAAAATTTTATATGTAATATCACTGCAATGCATAAAACATGTATTCTTGGGCCTCCCCAGTGGTGCAGTAGTTGAGCGCTGGGTTGCGAATCTGCCCGAAGCCTCTGCAGCGCTGGTTCTTCAATCCCCGGCCATAGGGCGAGGGTCCCACATGGCGTGCAGACCTCTCCTGCCACCTGCTGCTCCCCTCAGCAGTGTACTTCGTCACTCTGCCTGTTCTGCTCTCCACTCTGGCTCTGGTGAATTCTCTCACCCTCCCGTGCCTCTGACTGTACCCAGTGCTTGTATAAATAAATAAATAAATCTTAAAAAAAATGAATGATGGCACATGCTCATAGACACTTATCCAGAGAAGAAGACAGGGTCTTCAGGACCCTCAGGTTGAAGCTCAGTAGTGCACTCATAAGTCCAATACATAGTCAGGTCTTATTGATGCTTGACGGGCATACCACTAACTAGTTTGACTACCCTAGCAAGGAGAAGATGCTTATGTGCTTATATAGTGCCAGTCAACTTATCACCTGTTCTTAGGAACATACAAAGAGATTAAAGATACAAACATGAGCTAGAATATCTCTTGTGTAGAGTAGGGCTTTACAGGATAGCAGGTGGTTTTCAGTAGGTTAAAACAGTTTAACCAAACTGATGGCATTGAGGACTTTGTTATTTGGGTCATGATACTGTCACTCACATCACTACACATAACAGACAATGTAGCTAGAGCTGAACATTTGGGATGAGCAGATGTATCTCTATCATCTTAGCAAAGCCTCAGAACTGCTAAAGAAAAAAATCTAAACATGACATCGAGCCATTGCCAGATGTCAAGATTAGGAGATGCTCTTCTTCACAGGTAGTGCAAGCTCCCCGGTGAGGGTACAGGTGAGAGTTATCCACTTTACTGCAAGAGAAATACTCACGCAAGCTGACCTTAGTCTCACGTGCTCATATATTCCCTGGCCACCTTGCCACATTCCCTAGTCTTTGGTTGGCAGTCCTGATCTAGAAATTGCCCCTTAAACTGATCTGCTGTTCACTTTGCTTGAAGTATTAGACTATTTTGATCTAGGGTCTGACCTGGGCCACCCCAATGCTGCTGTGTCACAAATAAGTTTTCAGCATTCCACCTATGTCTTCATAGGCAGAATAGGTAAACAAATACTTCTTTCTAAACCACCATCCCTGTTATGGACCAATGAGAGCAAGAGATGGGCCATATGATGCAGCCCAACCACAGGACACCATTTGGGTTTATGGGAAATATAGTCTTAGAATTGTGTTGGACTTGTCTCATTTTACTCAAATGATCAATGCTTCCAAGAAAAAAAAAATAAGAGACAATGGTAAATTGAGTGACCAGGTTGATGGTGTTATCCTGGGTGGAACAGCATTCCCTGACCCAAAGGAATAATGTTCCTTTATAAAGAATGTTAGAAAACATCTTTCCTTCACCCATCTTCAGAAGTGTCTATTCAGGATGCTGAAGATCAAAGTAGAGGCCATAGTGTTGTTAGAAATAAGAGATAAAATAACCCAAGAAACCTTGGGACCCTTTCTTCCGAACACCATCCACTCCTTATGTACACATGGCTTCTCTGCTTCGTCTTTCCTACTGTTCCAGGGACAACCATTGTAACACCTACCACACATTAGCACATTTCCCATTGTTTCTCTAGAAGGACAATATACTCCTTGATCAAACTCAGGGCTGTGTCAGTTTTTTGGCATTTCCAGCATCTAACACAGTGCCTGAAACATACTAAGGTTTTAATAATGTCTGTTGCAAGTACAAAAAAAATAAGTAAAAGGGACTCAAAATGTCTCTACTGAGAAATCAGTTTCAATAAAGAAAAAAACAATGGCATTGAAAAGCTCTATTTTCATTCCAAGTAGAATAGAGTCCTACTCCATTTTTATACTCCACTGATTCATTCTGAACATGGTGTCAGGAACAATACAGGGCCAACAAACAATTAGTGGGGGAACAACACCATCAGTTGAACCGTCTGGGATTTGAACGATGTATAGATCAAATGTCTTAAATTTGCTAGGTTCCTCCTCATTTGACCAGGATGGATGACTCTTAGCTGCACTGCACTCTTTGCTGCACTGATTTCCCCTCATATATCCCCAATCAAGTGCCTTTAATGACTAGTCAGAAGTGACAATACAAAAGGTGCAGTGACTTTCATTGTACTTGGCGAATCTTGGACCAACTCCCACTGATTTGCCCTTGGACTAGGTGAGCTCAGAGACACCTTGCATAGCATGGTACAGTCACGTCTGCCTGTCTCCAGCCAAACACCAGTTCCCTGAGTTGTGAAGAGACCCAAGACGAAGGAGTGAGATGCCAGAAGTGACATTTAGTCCTTTTACTACCTTTGTAGACAGTGAAAGGTCTGTCTGGGTTACTCCAAAACTGCCTCACGCATCTCAAAAGTTAAATGACTTTTCTATCCTCCAAACCACCACAAGGGTATTCTACCGACAAAGAGATTTGAAATGCATTTAGGAACTTAACAGACAGACCAGCGCCACGTGGCCTACTTCTGTTCCAGATGGCTTCCTCCTCATCTTAGCTCATGTTCTAGTTGTTGCTGCATTGAAAATTCAGCTAATCTGAATTTAAATCCCATAAGCTTCAAGAAAACTCTTTTTTTCTCATTCTTTCCAATGTCCAGTATCCAGTTTTGGTCCAAATATAAGAAGGGGTTGCAGCTCTCTGAAATACACCTACCTAGCAATGCAGTTGGTCTCACAAAACAATCCTTATGCTGCTCATCCAGTACCTGGTCCAGGATCCAGGGACCAGGATCCCATCCTCATCACCAGACAACTATTACACAGACAATTCTAGCCACTGGCAATCTACAGAGATAAGATGCTACAGGTGCCACTTCAAGAAAATCCTCTTCTCTGAACATCCATGTCTTCCTGATCTGGTTCACCAACAAAGTGCATGCTGCTGCCTTGTAGTATCTTGTGGATGTCTCAGCTCCTCAGCTAAATAAATTATAAGCTTCTTGAGAGCAGGAACTATGTCCATTATAGAGGTAGTATCCTCAAAGCCCTAGAGCGATGCCCTCAGCAACAATTTTATAGCTATGCAAATTATCCTTTCATATAAAACAGGCTGACAACTCATGGACTGTCAGTTGGAGTCTATGCTGGGCATCATAAAGCATAAGAAAAACTGTAATCTGGAAAGAGCTTATGAAATCTCCCTGTCTTTGTGTCATATCTCTGCTTACATTCTCTCTGCCCTTCACCCCAACTGTGAATTCAGTGCAAATGTAAGATGCAGAGGGGTCCTCCCAGAGCACTGTCCATAAAGGGTCAGCCCCCAGTTTGTTTACCACCTCCTCATCCACCTCTCATGCCCCTCCCCCACTGCATATTCCAGTCCATTCTGGGCTTTGTTAAGTTCCTCAACTGTGCTGTTATCACTCACATCTGTATCTTGGCATACACAGTCCTGACTATCTAAAATGCAATGACTTCCTCCAACCTCTTTGCCCAGCAAGCTCCTATTCATGCTTCAAGTCTCAACTGTCATATTTCTTCCTTGCAGAAGCCTCCCCTATGGTAAGTTAAGTTCCTAGCAAAAGAATCTAAGTACTTTCCCATTAATGATGATGAGAATAATTATGCTCATATAATCACTAACATTTATTAAATGCTGATAATAGCCGAGTAACCTACTGATTCCATCCTGACTCCATCATCATCAATATCTTGTGAATAAAGTTCTTGATTATCAACATTTTATAGAAGACTAAATCAAATCTCAAAGACACTTACTATCTTGAAAATGTTTATACCACCATGACAGTCAGGTCACCAAGTGTAGGCCCCAAGTTCATGTTCTCAACCAACACTGCCTTTTTACTGTGTTTGCAATTCTTAATGAATAGCTAAATATTCCAGGTAGCAAGACTGTCCAGCAGAACAAGACTGTGTCTGTTTTGTTCAGAACTGTATTTGTAAAGCTTATCCAAGATCGAGCATGTAGGAACCACTAAACAGCAGGAGTTGAATGAATGAATGAAATAGTTGGCTTGCTCACCTGAAATCCTCAAGGAGAAGTATCTACCTGCTTTATTTTTTTTTTTTTTAGATACTTAGTCAAAAATGTATCATGATCAGGGTAGTATTTATTTTAAGTTTCCCTTTGTGTGATTCAAACCTAGCCTGTCAGATCTGGAAAGCAGTGAACACAAGAACACCCTTCTCTAGAAGAAAACAAGCACAGGTAGGCCCCAAGGCTTGACTGTACAGGGACTCCAGTGCCACAATCACACAACTCAGCCCCAGCATGCTGCCCACAAGGCCACTCACCCCTCTCGCAGGTCCTGCCCCAGTAGCCGGTGCCCGTGCAGTCACAGATGAAGCGGTTCCAGCCGTCCTTGCACACAGCGTTGTTCTTGCAGGGGTAACTGTCACACTGCTTAGCGCTCATCCGTGAACAGGAGGACTTGACGCCTGCTGCATTCTGCATCTCCGCCAGCTGCCGGATGTTCTTGCTGCGCCCGTCGATGAACAGGTCACGAATGCAGCCCACATAGCCGTAGTTGAGCATGGCAGTCCAGAGCTCAGTGGGGAGGATGAGGCCAGCACGGTTCTCTGGCAGCCCACCCAGGTACATGTCTCCTTCCAGGTCCAGGATCTCGCTCTCCCCACTGGCGGTGAAAGGTGTGCGCCTGCTGTTCACGGATATGGTACCTGGATGGGGACATGGACACGAGGTAAGTCCACAGTCCCCTTGGCCTGTCTTATGCACTTAATTTATAAATGAAATGGGTGAAGCTGTCAGCCCAGCATCAAAGGAGAGGTTAGTTCTAAGAGTAGTCTCCTCTGGCCAGGAAAGAGCAATACAAGCTAGAGGATGAAAGTCTGCACATTGATAAAAGGACAATGTAGAGATTTCAACTTCTACTACTAAGACAGCCTGGGCCATATGAAATCTCAGGACATTCCCCTAGCCCAGCACCTCCTATTTCTCTGCTTGAAAGTCTTGGCTGAGCAGTCACGTGCCACATAGGCTGAGCAGCATAGTGCCTATCTGTGTTTGCACCTGAGTTCTGCCATGTATTAGCTGGATAACCTCCAAGAAGTGACCTCACCTTCAGAGGTCATCATATCATCATCTGTAAAATGGGAAAACAACTGTGCCCATTTCATAGGTTGGCATGATGACTGGATCTTACTCTGTTCCATACTCTGCTCTGTATTTACTTGCTATGTCTTCTTCAGTGGCTCTTCACCCCCAAAAGGATAGAACTTGCACTTGTCTCCCTCCAAGCACTGACACCCTCTACACTGTCATTAGCTTCCAGCCCTGCCACGAAATATTTGGAGCATTGCTTTTGTTCAGTCTTCATTGTGACATATCTCTTTATTTGCTAATTTAACAAATATGTACTAAACACCTAAACTTGGCAAGCATGCCCTGCTCTCGGGGAGCTGATGTTCCAGAACAGAGGGACAGAAAAATAAACACATCATCCAATAAACAAGACAAATTAGCTAATGGCAGGTGCTAGGACAAGTGAAAAATGGATGCCCCGGCACCAGACCGTGGGTTCTATTTCAAGTGTACTGTTGGTGAAGGTCTCCCTAAGCAGGTAACAGGTAAGCTGAAATCAGAATGTTAAGAAAGTAACAACCAAGCAAAGTCTAGAGGAAGAACATGCCAAGCAAGGGGAATGACACCTGCAAAGGCCTGGGGGCAGGCAGGGATGTTGCTAGAATGGCAAAGGCAAGAGGGAGCAAGTGGGAAATAAGGTCAGAGATTAAGGGGAATGTCAGATTGTAGAAGATGTAAGCCAGAGCCTGACTTGGAGATTCGGGTACAGGGATTCTGGTCGAATGACTCTCAGCAACTAGCTCAGCCCATTGAGCCACTTTAGAGCTCCATTTCCTGAACTTTATTTTATTTATTTATTTATTTATTTATTTATTTATTTATTTATGCATACAAGTATTGGGGTACAGGCCAGAGGTGTGGGGGGGTAAGAGGATTCACCAGAGACAGAGTAGGGAACAGAACAGGCAGATCCACTGAAATACACTGCTGAGGGGTGCTGCAGGTGAGACTGGAGAGGTCTGCTGCACCATGTGGGTATCTCCCTGGCCAGGAATCGAACTCATGCTTCAGCGGCTGAGAACAGCTTTATAGGTTGTATCTTCTTAACCCCTTGCACCACCAGGGAGGCCCCATTTCCTGAACTTTAAAATCAAGGGAATATCTAAATATCATGCCAGACAATTTCAAATTATTTAGAATTCTTAAAGTACTTTCTTGGTGCCAAGATAACTGAGTCATGCCATCCATCAATCAGCCTTCACTACTGTCTGAGTCTCAATTCCCTCAGCTATGAAGGGGATAACTAGAAGGGCTAGAAAGATCAAATGAGATCAGGAATGTGACATACATACAAGTGGCAAAGTCAACACAGGCGTAGAAAGGGCATCAGGGTCCTCTGGGACGGTAAAGCCAACAACATGCTCCCTCTTTCTCTCCCCTAGAAAGTTCCTCCTAGACAAATATGCCTTCCCCTTTTGTTTTGTGATCTACTAAAAACCTACATAATAATAGTAATGTCCTAACCTTCATTTAAAGACTTTATGTGATTTTTGGACTTGACCTCAAAACAATCTTGTGAGGCAGGATTGGTATTTCCTCAATTTCACAAATGTGGAAGTCGAGGTTTTTGTCTCCTTCCTCTCTTGCACAGTTTGCTTCCTTTTCTCTCCACAGGTACACAGAGATAATTGGGTCACAACTACTGGGGAGAAGCATCTATTGACAAGCAGGGACAGTACCCAAAGTGACTGAAGTTTGGGGGCCTTAAATATAACCTAAGGACAACCTATCTTCTGATTGTGTGGCCACAGTAGTTTTGGATGCATTTATTAAGTTTTAAAAAAATCAGTCCCACTTTTTGGGGAATGACCATAAATGGTTTTCCTGATTACCTCTTAGTTATATTCTTTAGGACAAGCAGGGAAAAAGGTACCATGCTCAGATTCACTGCAGATGCTTTTATAACTGCTCACATTAATATAGGTTTACAGCTGAAAAAAAACACACCAGGAAATACTCTCAAGAAGAAGTGAAGTTTTGTCCATCATATCATAATTTTACATTATGTTGCTTCAGTGGGAACAATTATTTGTTTACTCTTCAATTTGTAAGCTTTCAGCAAATTTGCCAGAACTTTAAAACATTGGCCAATGCCTTAGCTCCCATTTTTGAAATTCATGTCTTCTGAAGTCCAAACAGGTACTTTTCCCTTATCTATAGTTCCACATTTCTGGATTCAGTTACCCATGGTCAACTGTGGTCCAAAATATTTTGTAAAACAAAATATATTGAAAGAGAAAGAGAGACTATAGTCACATAATTTTCATTATAGTATATTGCCATAATTGTTTCTATTTTATTATTAGGTAGAATGTTAATCTCTTACTATGCCTAATTTATAAATGTTGTGCTAGATATAAATGTATAGGGAAAAACATATTACATGTTGGGTTTGGGACTGTCCAGGATTTCAGGCATCCACTGGGATTCTAAAAAATATCCCTCAAGGATAAGGGTGACTACATATTTGTCAAAGATGGGTCTACTGCTGGTTCTAATAAAACAAAATGACTATCCTATTTGAGAAAGCAATTCATGTGGAGAACAAACGGAAATAGTTATCTAGCAATTTTACATGTTCTAACTTGCCTGTGACACAAGTAACCTTTCAAGTGTCAAGGTCTAGATCGGTCAGTCATGAATCCCATCAATCATGACTGAACTCCAGGGACCCAAAATCTATGATCATAAAAATCAACAATGACATGTCCTTTGTAATTCTCACACAGCTTTCTGGCTCTGTCCTACTGACATTTTATGGGTAAACTTATAGGAAGACTTGGCCTCCAGAGAAATGCTTTCTGTATGTACCTTTCTGATGGAAAAAAAAAAAAAAAAGCACAAGGTACTCATTCTCACTCATCAAGCACATTCGATTTGAAGCCTCTTGATTTTGATTAGATTTCAGATAATCAATAAAGCATCCTGCTGGGCAATAAACCAGCTCAAACTGCAATCTTTCCCATGTGTTCTCTACCCAGAACCCATCCAGTTCCTCCAAAGAGCAACACTGCTCAGCTCCACCTTCCCTCCATCTCTAGAATTATACAGAAAAGCCATCCCACTGAAGCTTAGCCTTTCCTGATGTCTTCTGACAGAACCTAATGCTTTCTATTATTGGCCAAATGCACCTAGAGAAAAAATGTCCAAATGAAAGACTTTTTTGTGTTTACCAGGAGAACGAATCCTTAAAAGCATCTCAAGCATAGCCAAGACTCTCCTTGAGTAAAACGCTACGTAAACGGACAACCAAGAAGTAAGTGTGAAATTCAAATGCTCTAATTATCACTTTGGAGAAATGCCCTTTCTAATGGAAGAATGTGACCTTCATTGGCACATGGTCCATAGAAAGCTAGGCTGACTGTACAGGCATCTAAAGCCCTAGATTTTCTATTTGTGGTTCCCTACCCTCTCTCTTTGTTACTATTCCAGAGTGGTTATGTACTGCCAACGGCAAGCTTGTTTGATCTGCGGCTGCAGAAACAAACAAAGCCATTTAAACCAAATGTAAAATGTTATAAGAGGAAGGGAGAGTTAGTGAGGTTGCAAAGAGTGAAATATAGGCTTTCACACCAAAGGAAGGCTTTAAATTGAACATGACTTCAGGAAAAATCAATTTGCCTTTTCCTTTCTTGTCATAATTTTTCCCTGCAACATGACTCTTGCCAATTACTGAAGGGTATAGTGTTGCACAAGCTCTCGCACAGTGAAGCTTATCCTACAGAGTAATCACATAATGCAGCATCTGTGATGTCACAATTGGTTTCCATAGTGATGAAGAAAAGGGAAAAAAAGGAGGGAGGAGAGGAAACCATCACACCAGTGACATGACAGTCACTGTGGTAGCCGTGGAAATGCTACTTGTAAAATCATCCTTAGCTCCAGGATCCTGGACTATCACTGAGCCAATTGTGCAGTGAGTGACAGGAAGATGAAGTCGAGAACGTGAGTCCCAGGTGAGACAGCGTCTTTGGAACATAACCTCACAACCACCACTAAAGAGACAGCAAAAGAATCAACAAGCCTGCCAGCGCAAAGATAAAATAAAAACAAAGTCAGGAGACACTGAAAGCGCTGGCTTCCCTCTAGTCTCAGCCTCCCATCCTGCCTCTTCCTACCTGATCTGCCATCGCGCTGAATATCCACGTGGTACCATTCCCCATCGTTGGCTTTCTTCTGAGTGGCTTTCACTTTGATGGTGCCAGAGCCCATGTCCAGCAGCAGGTAGAGGTTGCCATCAAGGAGTTCCACAGCAAAGAAGTCCACCTTGGCGTTCTTCTGGCTCCGGATGTCCTTCCTCTCTTGGGGCTTACCGTGAGTGAAGAGGATCAGACCGTTGGGCTCAGTGGTGCGGAAATCAAAGGAGATGGAGCCCATGCGCTTGGTGTTCCACTTGGGCAAGCTGATGTAAGCCTCTGGGGTCTCGAAGTTGATGGGATCCAGCGTGGCCACATTTTCACACTTGAACACAACTTCACCATAGATTTTCATCTTGGTGTCCCCAATTCGGGCCAGGCGAGACAGCTCCAGACGGATGTCATTATTCTTATAAACAACCTGTCAAAAGCCAAACGAGTGCCATGTGAATCAATATTGCACACAGTAACCATCCATTGCTCACTGGGAACCTGGGAGAAAGGTCCAAGAAGATGCTTCAGGACAAGGTCATCTGAAACAATGGAAATCGTGAGACACAGCACTTGAAAACCCCCCTACAAGCCCTGAATAAGCCCCTAGCTTTCCATTTTGTCTGTCATACAGTCCTTCTGTCTTTCTTCTTCATGCCAGTTTTATTTATTGTTAGAAATTTGTACAACATAAGCTCGTAAATAAAAAATCAAGAGAGGGGCCTCCCCGGTGGCGCAGTGGTTGAGCCCTGGGTTACAAAGCTGCCCGCGGCCTCTGCGGTGCCGGTTCGATACCCGGCTGCTCCCCGGCCACTGGAGGAGGGTCCCACATGGCGCGCAGACCTCTCCTGCTGCCCGCTGCTCCCCTTAGCAGTGTACTTCAGTCCTTCTGCCTGCTCTGCTCCCCGCTCTGGTTCTGGTGAATTCTCTCACCCTCCTGCGCTTCTGACTTTACCCAGTGCATGTATAAACAAATAAACAAACAAACAAATAAACAAATAAATAAATAAAATATGTGCCTCTTTAAAAAAAAAATCAAGAGAGATTGAGTTGCACAGAGATAAATACTGGCAAAGGTATTTACTGAAGTGTCTTCAGGTATCAAAAGCCCTAAATGGCCATCAATAACAATCAACCACATCCTTATAATGGAATATTATGCCACCCTTAAAACACGCCAGACCATTAGATTTTGTTTTTTTTTTTTTAAAGATTTATTTATTTATGTATATAAGACCTGGGGTATAGGCCAGAGGTGGGGGGCAGGTCACAGGGTTCACCAGAGAAGGAATGGGGAACATAACAGATGGATTGACTGAAATACACTGCTGAGGGGAGCAGAGGGTGAGATAGAAGAGGTCTGATGAGCTGTGTTGGTCAGCTCCCTGTCGGGGGATCGAACTCATGCTGTGGTGGCTGCGGATAGCTTCATAGGTTGTGTCAACCCTTGCACCACAAGGGAGGCCCCAGGACCATTAGGTTTTGATGTGAATGCTCCTCAAGTGATATTGTTAATTAGGAAGGAGCAGAACAGTCTGTATGCTTGTGTTATCCTTGCATTAAAATGTGTATATTGGGGTATGTAGTGTATGATGGGTTTGTGTACATACTCAGATGCAGAAAACATCTTTGGAAGAAAATATAAACTATGAAATTGTCAACAGGGAGTAAACTTATGGGATTAATATTCACAGGCGGGAATGAGATTTCTTTTTTACTTTCTTTTACTTCTTACATTGTTTGACTTTTAAAAAACTCTGTGAATATATTGCTTTAAAAAATTAAATAAGGACCTCCCTGGTGGCTCAAGGGGTTAAGCACTACACTATGAAGCAATCCGCAGCCTCTGAAGCACCAGTTCGATCCCCAGCCGACCAGGGAGAAACCCACATTGCGCAGCAGACCTCTCCTGTCTTGCCCGCTGCTCCCCTCAGCAGTGTATGTCAGTCAGTCTGCCTGTTCTGTTCCCCTCCTGTCTCTGGTGAATCCTCCCACCCCACCCCCAGCATCTCTGGCCTATACCCCCATTTGTGTATACATAAATAAATAAATCTTTAAAAAAATTAAATAAGAGTTGATAAGGAAGGAATTCTGTGATATTTATGCCCATTGCAAATGCCTTCTATATACATACAACAGGAAAATTACTCTAAAACACACAAAAAATATCTCATGAGTTCCCAAATGTGGTATAATGCATGTAAAAGCAGGAATTCATCTTGTTTCCAAAAATTCAAATTTTAAAAATGTTTCATTGTTGTTGACTTGAATTTAAAGCAATGCCCTAGGATGGATCTTGGTCCTCTGATCTCTCAAGCATGTCACATCCATATAATAACAGACAGGAAAGGAAAACAGAAAAGACAGAAGCTAAAATTTGAGAACAGATTATGCCAACTACTTTATATGTCCTGTACACTATCTTAGCAAGTTCTAAGACAGAACTTAAGGATCAGGATTTAGGTTCAATCCCATACCCACTACATATAAACTATGTGATCTTGGCAAAGTTATTTATCTTATCTGGGTCTGCTTATTCCTCTGAAATGAGATTATAGAAGTAAAGTACAGTTTGTAAAGAAAAAGTTAATACCTTTAAAGCTCTAGAAATGGCACATAGCAAGGTCACTAAAATCTCAGTTATTTTGGGGTTGGTGGTTGCACTCACTGTGAATCACATCTCATGCCCAAGAAGGCTGTAATATCTCCATATTCAATAAAATAGCAAGATTTATGTGTGAAAATCAGTTTACAATCCATCCCAGTGATAAAAAATTATTCAGATAGGTAATTTCAGTACATGCCATTTAATCGCTCACATCCAACTGCAGAATTATTTCCTTTCTTGCCACTTCCACCTGGACAGAATCAAGGAGAGCTGTATGCCTTTTAATGTATAACTAATGACAACAAATTTAAAATTCTTAGTATATGCTCTTGACCATGGGTCTAACCCCAGTCAACAGCACTGAAAATAATGCTACTAATATTTATTGAGCACCTACTACAGGCACCGTGGTAAGGCTCTAAAGCCTACAACACCCATTTGAAATATTGACCATCATTTCCGTATTTCAAAGAACCAGAACCAAATAAAGAGAGTAGTTAAGGAGCCATCCCACAGTCACACAGCTGGTAAGGGGCAGAGCAGAACCTGAACCCAGGGAGCTGGACTCCAACTGGGCTCTGTGCTTAATTCAGAATGAGGTCCTACTAGCAGCACCCAGGAAACTCATCTTTAACATGACTTGGGAAGTCATGCAACCACCAACCCCTAATATGTCCAACTATCCAATTCAAAAGCTGACTTTCTCATCTTAGTTCCCCTGGACAGACCATGTGCACAGGGGAAACCCTGCAGGATCCTTAGCATTACATGAGCGAACAAGAAAAGAAGCAGTGAGTGTGTAGTAATTGGCACCTTCTCCTTTCCCCCCACTGCCATGCCCCAGCACATGCAAACTCTCTGTTACGACCAAACTTCAGCTTTCTCTGTATTTAAATGCCTATGACTAAAGCTCCTTGTAAAGGTTAAGTATTAATGCAATTCATACTAAATTAATTACATTATGTAAGACTGAGGTTTGGATCCATTGAACAGTAAATGAAAGAGAACTCAGGCATCCTTATAGGAAGCAAAAAACAGAACAGAAAATGACCTTTTAGTCATACATAAAGTCATACATACTAAGGCATACAGCATCCTAGAAGGAGGAACTCTTCTGCGAGAAGGGACGATAGTTGAGGCTGTGTTACCAGGTGAGTGAAAGAATAGAATGCAGGTTTCTGGAGAGATAGGAGTGTCAGGGCCAGAAAGTAGCCCAAGATAATGAGGCTTTCCTCAACAGGCTTTTTGAAAGTGAGCTCTCCACTCTGCAGCCCTGACATTGTCTATTTATATGGAGTTTCCCCTATGATGGGCAAAGGGCCAACACCTTTCTCACTGACAATTGAGTAACCCGTCTGAGTCCCTTTTATTCACTTCCCAAGGTGAGAACCGCAATACCTATTAGAGGATCTGCCCCCAACTCCTTCCCCTCCACCTCACCCCGACAAGCTGTTATCAAGATTGAATGGGATGTCACACCTGGGAGAACATAGAAAATCCTAAACTGGTACACACTGACAGGGGCCTCAACTGAGGTTCTGCTGAGGATCTCTCACCCACAGGAAAAGGCCAGGAGTCATGTAGTCAATGGAGGGAATACTCAATTGAGAAGCTCCCTTGTCGGCATCCCCACTCCCCAACCCACCAGCCTGGTACAGGTCCATGGCCATCGCCACGCAGAGAGGGGCCAGCATCTTGGGTAGGGCACAGAGACAGGCAACCCAGCTGGACCCCCAGCAAGGCAAATTAGTATCTGCAGTGTTCTCTGAAAGTAGCGACTTTCAACTAAATGAAAGTCGCTGCCTAATGTCTGAACTGAGATGTAGCATCAAGCGACAGAAAGCAGCCTTGGTTGACAAGTTGCCCCAAAGAGGAGCAATTAAACACAAAGTAGAAATGGCTCCCCATGGGGGAAGGTGTCACACAGCCTGGGAGGCAGAGGCAGAGTCACAAAGAGTGACAAGCTGGTCTTGTCACCCTACTGTTTAGAATTGTAGATCTTGTTTTGGAGCCAGACAGTAAAATAGCTGAGAACAGAATCTCAGAGTTCCTCTAGATTCTCGCAGAATGACTCTTTAACTCTGTTGATGGAGACACTAAGATGACTCCATAATCTCTGACACAGGCACACAGGAGCAAGGCCAGTAAGGCAAGCTGTGAGAGCAAGAACAATATAGTAAAAGGGCACCACCTATTGAGAGCCTATTATGTGCCGGACAGTTTAAAATCACTGTTGTTGGGCCTCCCTGGTGGTACAAGGGGTTGAGTGCAGTGCTGTGAAGCTATCTGCAGCCTCTGCAGTATGAGTTCAATCCCCGACCAGGGAGCTACCCACACGGCGCAGCAGACCTCTCCTGACTCGCCCTCTGCTCCTCTCAGCAGTGTGCTTTGTTCTATGTGCCTATACTGCTCCCTCCTCTGTCTCTGGTGAATCCTCTCACCTCCCACACCTCTGGTCTGTACCCCAGTTCTTGTATGCATAAATAAATAAATCTCTAAAAAAAAAAACAAAACACTGTTGTTGATCATCCAGATTAGGGAAATGAAATAGGTGGCTTTAGCCACATTTCACAGAAATGGGACCCAGAGGATTTACCCAGGATCCCATAACCTATTAAAGATATAACCAGGACTTGAACCCAGATCTCTCAGATTGCACTGGGGCCAGGCCATGTTTAAGTGGTGGAAGTTTCTAGGCTCTCCTATAGCCCAACCCTACCCATAAAGCAGAAACCCTTTAGTCAAGCACAAAAGTCGCACACAGCTCCATCTTGACTTGCAACCCTTCCATCCAGATATCCTGTCTAGTGGGACTCCTACCC